GTGTTTTGAGAGCGCTTTTTGCAGCCACTGTGAGACAGCGCTGTTTAATGCACTGTTACTAATCTTTCTTGACAGACAACGGAGAACAAGTTTTGGTTGACGTGGAAGATAAAACCAACAAAGAAATAACAGAGCACATTAAAAAAATCTTGGGCAAAAGCAAGTAAGTAACACGTAATAAGCTGACTGACAGCCTAGCATGCATCGTAATACAATCCCTGCAAACTTTTATCAGGTGTAGAGAGAGAAATACCGCTTTTCCCAGAAAAAATTGCTGTGAAGGCCACAAGCTAGGAACTGTAAATCCATCTGTCTGGTAAACAGGGTCCAGGGAAGGGAGAGGAAACGTTGCCATTCTGGTTTCCCATAGTAACAGACAGATCTCTTAATTCTAGAGAAACACTTGAAAAAGAGGAAAGAGAAAGGAAGAAACTATCACATCCAGCAACTTTTGGGCCCAAGAAGTATCATCTGCGAGAATGCATGTGTGAAATTGAAGGTCAAGTTCCCTGCCCTGCTTTTGTGCCACTGCCCAAAGAGATGAGGGGAAAATACAAGGGTGCTATGAAAAATGAAGCATCGGCCTGACCTCTGAAGTCATGCAGTTGTTTTTCCTCAGGAGTGGATGATCAAGGTACTTCTCAGAGACAAGAGACAAATAAACGTTAAAACCCCAGCTTTTTTGGTGCCAGTTTTACTAAGCATTACAGCCAACACTGCCTAAAAGAAAACAGAAGGAGGAAAACAGAATGACTAGAGCCTTCTTTCCAACTCATGGCTGCATGTATTGTGTTACGGCAAAAACCACACGGTATTTACTAGACTAGACTAAAAAGTTAATTTCTCTTAGAAGCAGTGCAGAATTCCACAATTTATAGAAGTGGTGTAAAAGCGTTGCTACTGATTTCCATCTTGTACTAACTGAAGACAGCCAAATCATAATATAACTTCAGGCTCAAACCACGTGCTGAATTTTCTTAGTTCAGTCACCACTCAGAAACAGTTAAAAATCTCGTAACTTTTGCAGTTCATACTGCAGCTCTGAGCAGCACTGATCAAGTCAATAATATTGGCAGTAAACGAGAACATGTAAGTTGGTATTTGAAAGATACACTTTATAATTATCGTTACTGTCCTTCAAAAAGAATTTAAAGCTACTCTTCAATTAAGACAATTTCATAAAGTCTTCCTTTAAAAAAAAAAACCTGTATAAAGGAGAACTGTGTCTAGATTTACCAAATTCCAGCAAATTCTAGCCAGTAAATTGATTATGCTTCAAAGTCCAGTGCTGCTATGTAACTCCACTCACCTCAAACACTTCTGCTCCCTGCACATGGTCAGAAAAGCCGCCTGAATCATCATGGCTTCTGCCTCACCAAATAATTACAATACACCTGTAACAGTATATAAACATATAATAGATTGTGCTGTATTGCTTGGGATTTGGTAACAGCACTTACCTTTAAGTCAGGCTTATATATGCAAGTTACTGTAGAACTGTATTTCAGCGTTTCTGCGCTAATGGTTGGATACAAAATTTCAGACCAATGCATGCATCCTATAAAAACTGTCAAGGACAAACACAGCACAAAATAAACATGTTGTTTTATTTTATCTCTGTTTACAAAGTTTCCATACAGAGTAGTGCATGCAATTTTAACAAAAGTCAATGCTACTTATTTATTGAGCTTTATGGTTAAGATGTCTTCATTCCGCTGTGCCTCGTGAGCCTCACAGCAGTCCAAATACCAGCATCTTCACTTTGGAGGTGACTTTAGTAGTATCAGTTGTCTAGTGTATCACATTTAACACCGACAGATATCAAGAGGTATGCTAGTCTGTTACCTGCTTGTAAAAATACATTCTTACATGTACGATAAGGATAGTTTAATTATTAGTGTATTAGACTGAAAACAGAAACAAGGCAGGATAGTCACAACAAGGAAAAAACACTTTTTAAATGTGAAAGCTGACGCCACTGAAACACGTTCATGTTTATATGAAAAAAAGCTTTGGGTTACAGTGCAGGGAGCAATCCTCTTGACTAGCAAACAAGTCTATCTCAAAGAACTACTTTATACTCTTTCTGTTAAAACAAACCATTCCAGGGATTATGTTTAGGTATCTTAACATGTATTTTTTGCTGCCTCCATAAATCTGGTGCCACAGTTCACATGTTCTGTTGGTTTACAACATTTCAGAATCCTCTGCTTTTCATTTCACTTGGTGCAAAGTAACACCCAGGGACTCAATCAACTCTAATAAAACATGCCAGTAGAGAAACTTCATGCTCTTAAGACAACCTGTTCTGCGCACCTTTCAACTTCAGACTTAGGCTACAGTAGAAGAACATCAGCTGTCCTTAACTGGCTGCTCTACGTTGATCAGTTACTAGTGCTATTAAGTGAGGATATAGGTGGTTTGGTTTTTTTAAACAACAGTTCCACAAGTCCCTACCTCCACTTATTTACAGCAAAATAAAACTAGAGTTCCTGCTCTTTAGGTAGCGTAATTATTTGTGTTTCTAAAATATTATGCAATGCTTGGGTTACAGCTATGCTGGTATATATTATCAGAGACACAGTTAAAAGACAATGTCCCATTCCACAGAAGTTTACACTTCTGAGTAAGCCCACTATTTATTAGTGCTATACAGCGTGATCTGCCCAATTTTCCTCTATTTCAGCTTTAAAGAAATACACTCCTCCCCACCACCCTTTCAAACACATGCCTGATGATGCACCTCTGCCTTTGAAAGATAAAAATCAGAGCATCTCAGACTCCATCTTTTGCAAAGGTATAGGCTCACCTAACCCCGAAGTGATCCTACATTTCTGATACTGATCTTCAAAAGCCAGCTCTAAGCCCTCCATCACAGGTGCTGGCTGTCACCTAGTCATCCCCCAGACCACAGGATCCTAAGATCACTCCAGTTTGGAGCTTCTTATTTAAGACAGACATCTGATTCTCTTAACAACTTATCAGGAGAATCGAATATGAAAAAGAATTGCTATTTGGCACTATCGCAGCCACAGACTTCGTCTCCCAGCTTTCACAGATTTCCAGTTCAGTGGCACCTCACCTCTCCACTGTAAACACGGTTTTTGTTCCTTGAATGCTACAAAAAGAGGGTTCCAGTCTCACAAATACAACAAACGGGATCACTCCGTCACCCAGAGAATTTAAAGGAATGTGTATATTCCATAAGATAATTAGGAATTGGAGGGTCACCCTTTATATTACAGTTTGAAATGGTGCTAGTCTGATGCTCTTTTTTCCCTGGAAATGAGTAGATATTTGTTCCCACACAAGCAGGTCTCTGAAGCCAGTATGGTGCGCTTTTGTGCTCAGAGCAAATGGGAAACTAAAAGTGATGGAAAGACAGCATCCAAATTTTACTTGAGAACTTTTATAAATACATTAAAAAGCTACTCATATTAAGATGAGTTATAAAGTTCTTCTCAGTCTTAAAATCCCTTTTACGTATTAGCATTGCACAAAATTGATCTGCAAGCCTGTATATTCTGCACCTCAAAGAATCACAGTAGCCTTTTAACAGCACTTTCTCATAACACCACTATGCAGTTAAGCTAGCCTATAACACCACCCCGTGTCATTATGAGAGGGTGCAGAAGTTTACCTCTCTTTAGTCCAAACCCCACCCGAAAGGGCAGTCCTGCAACAGAAAGGGGAAAAGATGACAACATCGCAACCATTTCCAAATCCTGGTTCTCTGTTAGCCCTTAACCACTTTGACCAAAATAAGCACATGATAAGACCAGTTAGCATTAAAAAGTGTGTTGTAACAAGTTATTCCAAAATTTCTTAGTATTAAGCGTTTGAGACCAGCAGCATACCTCAATAATGCTTTCTTCAAGACTAAGCAGTAGTGGAAATGCCTAACTGAAAGTGCATAAAAGTCAATTCACCCAGTTCCCTCTTGTGATCTGTACTCTTGTTTTATAAGTATCTGCTCTACCTTCCCATATTTAACAGTAGACTTAAATAGTTATTACACAGCCCTATTGCTACTTCAGCAGTTGGATTTCTCCTTCTGCTTTGCTAATGTGCGTTTCAATTCCTTCAAGTTCTCTGTCAGCACCTCCACCTCATCCATTCGTCCACTATGTTTGGCATCAAATATATAAGCTTTGATATTATCTATCTGTTGGAGCAGCAGCTCTTCCTCTATAGCCTCCTCTCCAGAGATTTCATTGCCGTCCTCCACTTCAAAGGGATTGGTAGAGGATCTCTCTTCAAATGGATTCCCAGAATTCCAACTGCCCCCAGGCTTTTGAAATGGATTTTCATCCTCTTCAAAAGGGTTTGAATTACTGCCAGGTGCTCCATTGGTTTGTTCATCCTCCTCCTCATTTTCAAATGGATTATATTCTTTTTTATCACTTTGCAGAGCTGTGTTAGAGAAAGAAACCATTGGGGAAGTGTCTTTGGCAAATGGGTTAGCAGGATCTTCCTCTGACTGAGGGGTATCTGCTTCATCTTCAAAGGGGTTTAGACAGGCTGTCTGATCTTGGTCTTTGTCACGCTGTGGGACATTCTGGGGTTTGAGTGTGAAGATCAAGTGCTCGTTAGCTGGCAGCTGCTCAACAGCAGGAGTTTCAAAACTTGGGTCCCCTTTGATCTGAGTAATATCCAAATCCAATGCATGTGCTGTCAGGTTCCAATTCTCTTTTGCAACTTCATGCTCATGTTGCTTGACTTCTCTGAAGTCTAAGGAGCATGTCCTTGAATGCTGAGACATGAATTTGTGGTGTTCTCTTTCCCACTCTTTTTCACGAAGGACCTGAAGTTCCTCCCTCTGCATCTCTTCCTCTTCTGCCTGTCTTTTAGAAAGCTCGATAGCTTTCAGAGTTTGTTGTTGATCATATTCATCCTGAAGCTGCCTCAGGTTCTCTTGCAACATATGGACCTCGTCTATCCTATTAGCTGCCTTTGCTTGCTTAATAAAGGATGTGATATTGTCAATCTGCTGAAGAAGTGGGTCTGCTATCTCACTCTCTCTTGATATGCTAGATGTAGGTAACCAGCCTTCAGATTTCCTGACTGTTCCTTTTTTCAGGTGAGTTGCATCACCATTAACTGCAGCTGCAGATCTGGAGACGAAGTCTTTCTGCTTTTCATCTTGTTTTCCACGTGTTTCAAGAGCCACCTAAAACAAAAAACATGGTAAGAGGACACCATGAGCTTGAAAAATTCCTTTCTAAATACCCATAGGTACAATAAGTCAGCTGATCTTAGACATTGCTGTCTATCACTGAACAGGATCAGCTGCATTTTTGGTTACTTTGCAGAAAATGCTTATTTGTGTAGTATTACTTAAACGCTTCCCTTCAGTTTGTGATGATATTGATCAAAATGCCATGACATCTGCCTCTACAAACTTGAGGGCAAGTAGGAGTAGTGACAGTGCTTCATACAGAGAAAAAAAATGCCTAATACAACTGTGCAAAGAGTGGTCTACATTGATTTGGACAGTAACCATATCACATCTGACTATGGCAGACATCTGTAATAGAGCATCAGTGTTAAAGGTCACTGATATCGTTAGTTTTTGGAGTGCAACGATTATTATTTCTCAACTTCAACCTCAATGTAAAGTTGGTTTAGTTTACAATTAGTAATGTTGTCCCTCCTAACTGAAAAAATCCTATCTCTTGGAAGAGCCATCCTTATTCTAATACATCCTTTTTCACCACCAAAAGACATCTCCAAATTCTACTTGTGCAAATGAACTCCAGAACACAATTCGGAAATCCACATATACTAACACACTTCATTTAGGGCTTGCTTTGCATGCACTGCAGCAGAAACAGCACGTGCAATCAAGTCACAGCTGCTGTCTAGAAGTATTGAGCTGCTCAGTACACACCTACTTGTGTTCTGGATAGAATACAATGACAGTGTTACATGAATCCATGAAAAAGCATATAGAATGATCTGCATAAAGAAATGAAAAACCGAAATCCAATGTTAAAGGCAACTATTCATACGCACACAGCTACTAGGTTTAACCCTTGAAGGAGGCCCTGATACAAGATGTAACAGATCTTAACCTGTCTTACCATATGCAGTCTTCTCTTCTTCAGTTCTTCATACTGATCTTTGGTTGGCAGGGACATTAGGCCAAGGAGTTTTTCCTGGCAAAAACAGAAGTCTTTACAGTGTTGCTTGCAGGCATTCAGCCAATTTTCAAGTATTTCAAAAGAGATACCACCCAACGGAACACCCCACAACCAAATAAAATGTACTTCTACACTGCAGTGACTGCTGCAAGTCTGAGCATGTCTTTGCTGCCATACCTATACTGCTAGCTAGGTTCACACCTCAGCAAGAGACAAAACCAAGATTCACATGTTCTCTTAGGTTGCTGAATTCAGTGCTGCTCTGACTACACTATCTGTATTCAATCTAGCACTTTTAAGGCTACCATAAGTCATTAGGGGAACTACAGAAAGTGTATAGAATTCAACCTCCTGTCAAAATAGTTTCAGACTACAGGGATTCCTGGCAAGGAAGAGAACACTATATGAAAATTTACATTCAGCTCGTAACATATGCTCCATTTACCTGAACAAAAAGTGTAGCTGAATATCTTATCATTCTCTGAAGTTGTAGTGTTTTAGGATGAGGTTGGGGATCTTCATGCAAGCCTAGACTCAAAATCTTCTTACTGAATCAAAACAAACATACAGCCTTGTCAGTTCAAGAACAAGGCCAGTGAAAATGCAACAGAAGGGGAGAGACACAATATTGGATGAAAATTTTCTGATGTTTTTAGGTAAACCATTTTGGCTATTACAAGTAATAACACATTTCTCTCCCACCTTCTTTTTTTTTTTAAAAAACACAACCACAAAACAAAAACTGTGCCACTATGTTTCCTCTGTGCTTGGTTATTTCCACTGCAGAGGAATGCATGATTGGTAAGGCTAGTAAAGGAAACAGAGGAACAGCATCTACCTTTTCGTATGCTCTTTACAACTGAGCAGAAGAACTGATTATCCATATGAATAAGCAGGTATATGCTACACAAACACAGACACCACCAGTCACGCAAAACTACAGAGAAATCCTAACGGAGTTACACGGGGCGGGGGGGGGAGGGGAGGGTCTTTTTACCTTAAGGCATCTATAAATTCGTATACTTTTTGAATCTCCACCCTCAAGTCATTAGCATGTTCAAGATTGTAGGTTGTCTCCCCAGCACTAAGAAATAAATACAACTTTATTGTAAGTCATGCACCCAGCTAACAATACATACAACACTAGAAGTTCTCCCAAGATGACTAAGATTCAATAATGGTAAGAATAGCTAAAGGGGATAAATGATTTTATTTCCAGCTCATTTTGTTTAAAAACCCTTTCTTTGTGACAGAATTGGAAAATGACAATCTTGTGAATATGACCATTTCATAAAAGATCATTTTATTTATGATTTTATTATTATTTACTATTATAGAAGAAACTGTATTTTAACACAAGAATGCCACTCTACCAATAATATCTAAAATACACACATACTTAGCAATGTATCTGTTTTGTGTTTTTTCCCAGGTGACTGGGTGCAGAAAAAACATTGACTGATTGAATAAGTAACTATACCATTAAAGCATAACAGTTCTCTCTACTAACATTTGTCAGAAAACAAAAGCCTACAACCTCACATGGGTGTAATATTTAAGATGCTGGTAACCAACTGTCCACATGGGGACACAATCAATTATATGCTCTTTACTAGAATCTCACATTTATTAATAGAACAAATTAGGATTTAACGGGGAAGACTATTCACCAGTTTTAAACTTCCCTCTCCTTTTGTATCACAAATATAAAAGCTAAGGATCACTCTCTCAAAAGCAACTTCACTATCCATATGATTCCAGTTTCTGGGACTCACAACTAGTCAGAAATCTTTAATTACATCAGCAAGAAGTCTGTTGTTTTCTGACAGGTGCTCCCATTATCCAGGGCATTCATATTTTTACTTCTCCCCAGTTGTCAAGCCACATAACACCGGTTCTCATGAAGTCATGACAAAAAGCAGTAATAGCTTAGCATGTTTTTCACCTTCTCTACTTCTTTCTTCCTTTTGGGAGGTGTGTCTTTACAAAAACAGCTTTGTTACAACGAATGACAGCCTAATTTTTCTACAACCATCAGATCTAAAGGACAGGTACAGAAATATTTGTTAACTTTTACTTCCCAAATAGACACGCTTCATAGTCTTACGACCAATGTGCGTATTTCTCTACTATACACCTTATCCACCGCAGCAAGCCAGCTAGATTTAGAACAACTGCCAGGTGAAGGTGGCTTGCTTTACACAAGAACAGATGAGAAGCTTTCAAACAATCCTTTGCTACTGGCACCTCTTGGAAGCCATACCATTACCAGGGCAGTAATACCCTACTTCAACTGTTTTGAAGAGGCTTATTTGCACAGCAACAATGGTAGCCTTGTACTTTCTTTTTGCAAAGATGACAGGTCAGAACACAACAGTGATGCCTCACCGGGAAGTGGCTTTAAAAAGAAAAATAAAAATCAGATTTCTTCTGTATGCAATGTCACCATTAATAATTAATTCAGTACTATTTTGTTTGAATAGCATCCAAAAGACAACAGATGATCTAACACTTGCTTTTTCTTGTAATTTACACTCTTGCAGCCTTAGCACACCACTTCCTTACTCCTTCCCACAATTCAGGGGAGGAAAGAGACATATATTGTTGAAGAAAATCAGCAAATGGGGCTTACTTTAATGATTCTGCCATCCTTATGTATTCTGGCGCCTTCTGGTCAACCTTCTCCATGCAGAGTCGGAGTTTCTTGTTTAAAAGAAAGCGTATTAAAACAGAACTTATATTAAAACACTAATGCAAGAGCATGCTGACAGAAACCTTTCACGCTGCCTGTGCACATTTAAAGTTAATCGTGATGAAAGCCATTTAACTATTCAGGATGACAAGAACCTCCAGTCATCTTCAGAGCACAGATGGCAGAGTCAAGAACAGAGAAAGACTCCCTGTACCCCTGCAAGATGAATTTTTAATTCACAAGCTGTTTTAAGGGATGACTTAGACAACTTCTAGCCTTTAATCTCTTCACAATGAGCACCAACAGAAACTCCCATTAACACTAACCTCAGGGGTTTGTGGACTCTACTGAGGAGATACCTGATGACTGTCAGTACCCGTTTTCAAAGCATATTTGAACACAATGTTCCAGCCATATGCTGTTGATTGATGTACATGGTTCAAAAAAGCATTTGCCCTAAGTGTGGGGACAAAGAGTGCTGACAACATCGACTCCTATAGTTCCAGTGCAGCCCGTCAACAAAGTGCACAGCATATCATTGGTTTAAACAAGTACTGTTCTGAGGAATCCCAGGTGACATAATTCACAATTTTAAGAGAGAGGCATCTTAGAACTATTAGTTACAGATGATGAGAATGAAGCTGTATCTTTAAGTGATATTTGAAGTTATTGTGGCATATAAATACTACACAGCAACTGGCTCCATTTCACCTGTATCTTTGTTACAAGGCATAAACACCCAACAGAGTCTATCCTAACACAATTGAGTATTCAGTCATGAAGTAAGAGCTTGGACATGAGATAAGCCAAAAGTCAAGTAGTGACAACTGCAGATATACACGCTGAGGATGTAAGCAGCAAAGAGTTTGATTTACCTCATAGAGTTTCACAATCTCTGGAGTGTATTCTTTCTCATCAATCTGTTGTTCTCTTTTCAACAGGGTATCTTTGCAGTGCCGACAACAACGGATTCGGTCATCATCTTTCTCATCCAGAACTGAGCTCACACTGCTTATGCTGCTAATGCTGCTGCGGCGGGAGCCATGGACGCTATTAGGTGAGGAGTTTGGGCTAGTATGAGAACCCAAAGCCTCTTTGCTGGCACTAGTGAGTTTGCCTAAAAATTATACACAAGGAATTTTACAGCCAACACATTTTACCCACACAAATGAACTGCACTTTAACAGAAACTTTACGTTCATATAATATTAGAATACCAAGCTGAAACAGTCTCCTGAAAGACATGCAAGGAACCCATGACAACCAAGACTGCAAGTCAGAATTTGGATCTTCACTGTAAATCTTGCTCCATTCTAAAAGCAGCTAGAGGGCATACTGTTGAGAACCACCTACTTTGCTTACGCCTAGAAGCACTCACGTTGGAGCTTGCATAGTTACAGAATAGTGTGTGTAAGAACAGGTATGTTAATGTTGTCCCTGTTTTGTGCTTGGACGCTCCACAAAGCACAGTTAATGTCACTTGTTTCCACAGAAAATACAGTCTCCTCTCCAATGGACTGGATGAGGAAATTAAAGTTTGAAGGGTCTCTTAAAGGCTTGTGGATGAATTTCCTTAATGTCAGCATTTGGACAACCACGGGCAAGACTGGAAATACTCACAACAGTTTTAAATGCACTTGGCAGTTATAATTCCTAAAGTTAACACCTTCATAGTTATGATACTCAGTAGAATAAGACACTAAATATTAATTATATTTACTACTAGCATATACTACTACTTGTAGTAACTTTTTCAGTGTTATGTGACCCTTCCAAATTTGAAGAAGGAATGGAGAAATCATTCTTCTTATTCTGTTTCACAGACAAGTGTTTGCATGAAACCGAATGACACATTAACGACCACATTTTCCACGCAGGCAGAGTATTACCAGCAGCTTTTTTTCTAATGGCAAAAAGCCAGGATGCAGTTAGCACCTTGAGTGAGCTGAGAGGAGGAATTAACACCACACACTGTACTTACTTGCCAAAGGAAGACTGACAAGTTCCATGCACTTCTTGCACATAATAGACCCACAAAGGCGGCAGTGGTGACGTCGGTTTCGAATATTGAACTTATTGCCACAGTCTGGGCAGAATGGAACGTCCTGATCACTGACCCAAGGCACAACAGACTTCTCTATAGCTGCGATCGGGCAAGAAGGGAGGGAGTACATACAACTCAAAACATTCATTCCTCAGATCGCTGAACTATAGGAGCAAATAGTCTGAGGTAAGCTCATACCAACCTCTTATTTTAGCTGACTCAGTGTTTGCTCTGTCAAATGATGTGAGCTGGTAGAAGACAAACAATACATTCAAGAAAATTGTACTTCAGCAAGAAAAAAACCCAACACAACCCAGCCCAACGAGAAAAAGAAAGCTGGCATTTTTAATAGATAGGAGTCTAAGCCTGTTTTACACCAGATTCCTGCAACTTTCCTATTTATTTCTAATGCCATATTCATACAAGTAGTGCTAAACAATGACTGCCAAACCTGCACAAATCAGAGCATTTTGGACATAATCCTTACAGCATCCAACATTACTCCATCTGAGCCAAAATGTAAGTATATAATTGGTAGATTTTGAAGAATGGGAAGCTGGAAGAATCATGACAAAAACATTAGGGAGAAATTTAGTAAAGTAAAAGATGGCGAGAATACACAGGAAAACAGATGGTTCTTGCAGCACATGGAAGTAGCACCTTCAGCTTGAAAACAGTGCATAGAAACAGAAATTATATCCACAGTACAGGGTCAGACCAAGCACAGTACTCAACGATAAAAAACGAAAACAGTAATGTGTGAAGACAGTCACAGTTTAGTACCCTTTCTAAAGTGCACTGCCAGATAAATGGGCACACTTCATACTAAAATATGATTTTTTAAAATCTAGGAAACATTCAGAGGGCTGGAATATTAAAAAGCAGCAGATTTACCTTTTCTAACCTGATTATTAACTTATTGACTTCAACTACATAGTGATCAATCCTGGCTGCTCGGTGTTTCTTGAAATCAGAAAGATGGCTTCTCATAGCACCTGGAGAGACAGCAGAAAGTTTTCATAGTAACCCAGGTGTTCTGTATGGATTTAAATGCATGTAAATGCCTCTTGAAAGACAGCTGTCACTTCTTTTCACTATTTACTTCTCATGTTCAAATTGAATTTTAAAGACACATTACAATTTCACAGTGCTATTCTAAATAAAACATGCAGGTTAAAGCCTAATCTCCAGGCTAGCAATGAACAGTGTTTTGCTTCTACTACAGAAAACAACAGGCACTCTGTTAAAAAGAACATCTGCAACAACACTTTTTTTCCCCCTCTTCATCCCTCAGTTACACCTGGCAAGCTATTATCAACTAGTAGTAGTCTCAAAACTGACTCCCTTTAGTTTCCTGGGTACATGTTGAACAAAGGGAAGATGCAGGTCCAGTGATTACTGGAGGTCTATGCAACAGTAATTTCCTTTTCAGACTTCTGATCCTCCTTCCACCTGTAAGGGTCTGAATCAAATCCTTGATGATAGTTCAGATTTACAGAAAACTGATCACTTAAGAAATGTACAATTCTTACTCGACAACATTGGGTTTAAGTTTTGATCCTCATCCTCTTCCCGTAAGATGAGCCACATATTAAAAATCAAAGTTACAGCCAAAATTGAAAAAAAAAAAAAAAAACCAAACCCCACATCAAAAACCCCCACTTTCTTCTGACTGGTAGAACACAAAATCAGATGTTGCTTTTTGATAATACTTCTGTAAGTGTGAGAATCTCACTTCCTCATGCTAATGAAATAACAAAAAACCTCCAAAGCAGAATTCACAGAAATGGAAAGGCCCCTCCGAGTAACTGAATTCAGCCACTGCTTTGGAGACATCACACAGTCCCTTTCACAAAACCACCAAATCCCATCCTAAAATCCTGAAGTTCACCTTCTCCACTCTGATCAGAAAACAATTCTCACCTCTAACAATTCAGAAACCTTCTGCTAGTTCACTGCCTAAATTTCTTCTTAGCTGATACTTATACTATGATTGCTGCTGAAATAGTTACAAAGTCAAAAGTATAATAATCTACCAAACTCAGACTCTGCAGACCCAAAGAACTAAATCCTAGTCAGTCAGCAACATAGGGGAAACTTTCCCGGGATTCACCAGAGATAGTGCTGCTTCCTCCCACTGAAAATAACCGTAATATTTCAGTAATAGTAAGAGGCAACTTCCAGTAACAGCATTTGTAGCTACAGGCTCAGTCAACTTATCCTTGAAATTCTACAAACGTAGATTTATATTCAGAGGAGTGGGTTTGGGGGTTGGTTTTTTTTGGTTTGTGTTTCTTTGCTTGTTTGGATTTTTTAAAGTAAACCTCTTTTTAAATGAGATATGATCTACACCTCAAATCCAAAAAGAAAAGCTGAAAGTTTAAATGAATGGATAAGCTTTTTGTCAGACATGTAAACTAACAACTACTTTACGTGTAGCCCAAAAGCTGGATATTTTATATAGCTATAGCTTAATTATTAATTAGTGGATTATCTGTTTTGTAAAAAGCCATAAGATGGTTGCAGAACACCTCAACAAAGCTAGACACAGAGATAAACACATATCCAGCAGGCCTCAACAGCTCAGGCACAACAACATGACAAACAGCTATCCTGTTCTCAAGGTTAGTTGGTGCACTGATTCTATACACTTATTTCCCCACCACCACCATTATCTGCATTTTCCCCACCACTCCACACAATGTAGACAGGCTGCATAAGATCAATATGCAAACCGTAACCTCATGCTACAGCGAATCAAATGCAACAGACACAATTCCATGCAACTCCAGCAATACTGTAGCACTTTCCCAATTAAGATTAAAAGAAAAGCCATCCCCACTGCACATCACTTTCTAGCTCTCCTACCTACTTCCTGGGGCTCCCACATATATGGATCTACTCCACCATAGCTGAATGACTCGTATCGTTCTTGAGATCCAGAATCAGTTCTGTCATCTCCTTCTCGTTTCAGCAATTTCCTCTTTGCTCTTTTGGCTTTCTGGACTAGATCTGAAAAAGATACCAAGTTATCAAACATGACAAGTAGCCACCAAATATTTGTCACATGAAACCAGTATGGAATATTTCTCATCTTTTAGCACAAGTCTTCTTCTATCATGATAAGTTTATAATCAACATGTTCTGTTTAGAACCAGAACGCGGTTCAGAGAATCACAGATGACAGGAAATGCTCTTTTGTTATCTGTCATAAAGTAGCACTAAGGTCCTAATGACAAAACAGTGGTTTTAGACACTCCATTCAGGGACTTCACTTCTTTAACTGAGAGACCTGTTTCACACCATTCTAGAACATCATACAGATAGTATCATAATTCTCTTAATTCCCAATGATTTTCTTAGGATTCAAGGATGTTCAACACTTTCTTTGTCTTGTTGTACAAACTAAGAATTTCAGTGTGCTTGTACACCTAAATAATTCCAAAAGTACTAAACAGCCCACTGCATTCTCTCGTATGAATGCTAGTGAGAGGAGGGCAGTCTCCTGTACCAAAAAAAAACACCCAAGACCAGGAACTTGAAACTTCAGAGCTTTTATTGGCCTTGTGGCCATGTTCCTCTCTGAATGCTAGCAGAAGTTGAGGGCACTACTTTTCTCGCCAAACACATTCAGTATCTTCTTGAACTAGATCTTTTACACACCAAGCTTTCTACCAAGCTGTTGGGAACCGTGAGTTAGCACATCTTTTCATATTTCTAACTTTCTTATTTAGTGTCCAAGACACTGGAACTTCCATCTTGACCTTACTGGAGTCTGTCTCGCCGAGCTTCAGCCACCAGGCCCCTCATGCAGACATCATACTTCCCAACAGTTTTTCAGCTGCAGAGGTTACCCTACCTCCCAAAATTACATAAACATACTTCTCAACAAAACTGTATCAGGTTGGCAAGGGCTTTGCTGTCACTGTAACATCATCTAAGAAGTAGGATTTCTCCTCCCCTCACCTACTTTCAAGCCAGCATAGCAAACGCCAGCTAGACACTGCAGCTTCTTAAGTGAAGTTGACACTATCTAAATAGGCAAAAAAAGGCACTTGGGCCTTTGGAAGTCTGACATACTCAAAAAGCAGCAGTGATGCCTCATGGCTTTGCCACAGATACAAAAGCTTTTCAAGCAGACTTCATAATCGTTTGTCATGAAGTCAAACTTAACCACCTCAGTGTGACTCAACTGAAGCAACAAGGTGATTTGTAAGCATTTCTGGAACTGCACAATTAGGATATGTGGAGTTCCGCACAGTCATGCAACCACTTGTGATGCACAGTTTGAACACCAGTCCCTAAACCAGGTAATTTAAATAGGCGATTCTGCTGGCCTTCCTTTGTCTAGAATGGACTTCACTGGATAGACTTTGACATGAATAACTAGGACAGAAAGTAAGCAGACAAAACCAACATCCTTTATACAAGAATACATATGAAAGACAGCCTGAGAAGTCACAGTATGCTATTTTAGATTAAAAGAACACTAAAGAGAGAACAAAACAAAATGCAGGTGTTTTGTATTAAAGAAAAGAAGTGTTTGGGAAATATTACCAACCCTAAGTTGTTGTTTTCTTTCCTCCTATCACAATGAAAACTGTATCATTGTTCTGGTTTAAATGCTCCACGTAAGCATCCGTGATTCAGCTATTACAGCACTGTACCCATGATGAGAACATGACCAGTCTACCTTCACTGTTCAAGAGCACAGTGCTAAAAACCAAGAAGTAGCCAGACTGATTGAAAGCAGCTTAAAGATTCATGGAATATTCAACTGCGCTACCCTTCAGTTAGGCTTGTTAAAACCACAAACATTTCACTGAGAAAACAGATTTTTTTAAATAATAATCATCAGTCTCAGGGGTAGCGGGTAGGGGGAAAGGGGATGGGGGGAATAATTCAAGACTGCCAAGCCAGTATCTCTAGTACAATAAAACAAAACCAGAAAGATTTTTGTAGGGAACACACAGAATTATTACCAGTTTTTGCACATTTTTCTCTCAATGTAAAATGACACTGTGTACACAAGGGGGGTTAAAAAAGGGAAATATTTTAGTTAAACAGAATTCAAAGGGATTTTTCAAACACCAGTAAAAGTTGGTAATCCATAGCACGACCCTGGGACACTCCCAGCACCTACCGCCAGCTCCACCACCCACATTCCATCTTTTCCTACTAACCACCCTGCTTACCTTTGCACTTCAGCTGCAACTATAGTTCTACCTACTGTCAAAACGAGGGATTAACTAACTGGTACCCAGCAAGGACCAGAGATTCCCTACATGCTGTAAGGTCTTCAAGTCATGCTTGGGAATTCACCTGGGTTACAGTACAAATCCGAGTCTTCAGGCCAGTAATAGACATCATGCATAAAATCAGACATTTGAGGAGCGACGTCTCTTAAGTCCTACTTTCAGTCAGTAAATTCTAAAGCAAAGGGAATAACGTAAAAGCTACGCCCTGGCGTCAGGCAATTCGCGGCAGAGCGGAACGCCGCGCCTCGCCGGTCGGTCACT